ACAATTTTTCTTAAGCAACAAATGTCTGTTTCTTTAATAAATTATTGAGATATTAGCAAATTTATGATGCACGAATTGTTATTTAAGTTTGTGTAAAGGATTTACGGAAAGAGTTTTGCTATTTGTATGTGTTATAGATATTTGTGACCAACGAAATATAATATAAATAGGACAGATTAATCAAAAATTAGTTGTTTTTGTTCGGTTTCTTGATGAATAAGTACACATAACTCAGAATGGCTATTCAAAAAATCATTGGAGCTTTTAGTATTACAGATTACCTTCTTCTTTTTGTTTTAATCTTTGCTACGTATGTTTTTAACTTTTATTATAAATACTTTACTCGTCCCAATCCACTCCCTGGTCCATTACCTTTACCATTCATCGGAAATCTTCACAACATTGCTAACGATTTAAGATTATTTTATGGTAAATGTCGATTAAAATACGGAGATATCTGTGAAATAATGTTTGATGGAAATAGATGTATAATTCTCACACGACCAGAATATATTGAAAAATGTGCATCAAGTTTAAAGAAGTTTACATATTCTCAAGGTCTAGATGAACTTGGATTTTATGGACAAGGGGTTAGTGCCAATGAAGATTATGAGAAATGGAAATATAACAAACAGTTCTTTACTCAGGCCATATTAGCACCAAGATTTATGGATAATGTTGCAAAATCTACAAATAAATTGTTTGAAGAATTGAGCGGATACTGGCAGTCTCTTGGAATGCAAAATGCTTCAAATAATAAAAATAAGGCTAATTGGACTTTAGAAACCGATTTTGCTGAATGGTTTCATGCATTTACGAATGATGTTATTTCAATAATAGTTACCGGTGAACGTACATATTCAATTGCCTCCTACTATAACATGCAAAGTACTGTAAAATCTGAACATCCTGATGCGCTAGTTGAAGATGGGAATAAATTCGTCAAAGCATTTATTAAATATGTTGAATGCCTCTTTTTCTTCATGTTGGTTGGCCCGTTCTTAAGGCTTTATGTTCCAATAATCAAAGATAAGGCAAATTCTTACTTAAAAAATCGTGATTATATACATGAAAAATTGGATCTCATAATCAAAAAGAGAAGAGAAGAGATCGAAAAAATGCCAGTGGGTACAGAAATGAATTCTGATATGTTGACTTCCTTAATCATTGCAAATACAGAAAGGGATATTGCTAAAATAAAAGCAGTAGGCGGTGAGACGTTTGAACCTATGACCGACGAAGATATCCGAAGTAATTTGATAGATGCATTCGCCGGTGGAACTGATACTGTAAGTAACATTTCTTTATTTATTTACAATTTACTTATGCTTATTTTATCACTGTTTACCTATGTTTAGACTGCCAACACCTTTTGCTGTGTAATCTATTATCTTTGTAAACATCCAAATGTAAAACAAAAAATGATTTCAGAAATTGATTCTGTCTTTGCTAAATCTTCTAATAAGTCTTATTTGACAAGTAATGATCTCTTAAATCTAAAATACTGTGAAGCCATAATCAAAGAAACTAGTCGTATGATTCCAATAGTAAATTTTACAGCTCGTTACATGACTGAAGAGTGTGAAATTGCAGGATATAAATGGGCTGCTGGTACACTTTTTCACTTAAATTTTGTAGGAGTACATGGTCACTCTGAAGTTTGGCCTAATCCTGAAGTTTTCGATCCAAATAGATTTTATGATGTTGTTCAAGATGATAAAATATTAGAAAACAAATATTCCTTGATAATCTTTGGTGGTGGTCCACGAATCTGCCCTGGAAGGAAGCTGGCAATGGGTGAACTACTTATATTGATGGCATTGGTTTACAGATATTATAACGTTGAATTGGTGAATATTGATGAGCCATTAAAAATTGTTACCGCAACGGGTAACAATGTTGAAGAGTTGAAAATTAGAATTAGTCCTCGAGTTAATTAAATTTAGTTTACCGAGTTATTTAAATTATTAAATTAGAATTAGTTCTCGAGTTAATTAAATTTATTTTTGCTGAGATATTTAAATTATTAAATTTAATTTTTACTAAAATGCACCTATGGTGTTTTACACCTATGCATATACTTTATTATCTAAAAAACTGGCAGCTAATCGGTGTGAAGTGTCTTAAGTAAAAATGTTTATTATCACAAATTTTTAAATTTGAGACATAGAGAAATGATTTTCTTTTCTTTCTTTTTATGTACATAGATATTCCCTTTAAGAGTATTATTACATTTTATTTCCATCTTTATATTATATATTAAGTGATAGAAAAATTCAAGTGAAACTCGTATTTACCATAATGATATTATATCGCACGTTAACGTGTTATTGTCGTGACTAAAGTTGGGATCCGACTAAAGTTGGAACTTCAGTTGACTAACTGAGATTAGCCCCTGAAATTAGAACATCCTGCACGCATTAGTTAGCTGTTTTAGGCAGGTGCCAACTTCAGTCAGCCGAAGTTCCAACTTTAGTCGGATCCCAACTTCAGTCACGACATTATCACGTATACCTGTTATTAAGTGGTAAAATTTATTAGTATTGAAAGTTTGCGATAACACGTGTTAGGTTTAAAGAATATAGATTTTTAGCAAACTAATGTGCTATATAGCACGTAAACATGCTAGGTAACGCATTAATGTATAGGATAATAAATAAAAATGTATATAAGCACCATTCTTTTGAGCATAATAAAGGAGGAGATTTCCTTCGATTGTTCATAAGAAAAATAAAGAAAGTAAGCTAGTGTAGTTATACATGTGTGCCTAAATTGCCCATCTTAATAAAAAAGGAATTACGGCATTTAGGCAGCCGAAATTAGGCTTATATAGTGCCGAAATTAATTTCATATTTGCCGAAATTATTGCCGAAATTTTTTGGACTCTTTTCATCAAAATACATCATATAGTATAGTTATTTCGGAGGCTTTAATATAAAAAATTTAGCATTGCCGAAATCTTTGCCGAAAATACTTTTTTTCAAAAATAATTTAGGCACACATGTATAAGTGTAGTGCTGTAGAGACCTTTATTCAAGTAAATCAGAGTCTATCTTCCAGTAACTATTAGAGTATAAATCGGTTTGGTTTTAATTCTCTCCCGTATTAATAGTTACAGTATGCCCCAAAATCCTTCCCAAACCCTAACCTGAAAAAATTTGTGTTAAAAATTTTGTATACAAAACTTATAAAAACTTAGAAATTTAAGGAATATAACAAACATGTAATAGGTGCAAAACCACAATAGGTGCGTTTTATGATAAATGTTTTACTTTATCATTTTTCTTATTTAGTTCAATGTTTAAAATTTCGATTTTAAAAATATGCAGCTCTCGAATGAACTCAATTTTATAATTAAGGTTTTCAATAAATTCTTAACATTTTATTATGTTTTTTAAATAATCATAATTTTTAAATATTCCCAAAAGATTACCATAAATTCTCGAAATTACGGGCATAGATATTATTTTCAAAATTGTGCATTCTAAAAATATATTTGGTTTGAAATAATATCTTTGCACATTCCAAATAATACTTATTTCATAATAATTTTGCTTGTGTGTATTTTTAAGTCTATAAATAAAATACTTTTATATATTAACTATAAAAAATTTCTGGCTATTAATATTATATACAGCTAATTTTTATTTTTAGCAAGTCAATATATAATTCTAATATCCAAAATTCTAACTAAGACAAAATTTGCTAAGTTAATATTCTGACTAAGGCAAATTCTAACAAGTTAAGATTCTGGTATTCAAAATTCTAAATGCTTAAAACCTGACTATCAAAAATTTTAAAGATCAAGATCTTTACTAAGAAGAATTCTGATTAAGACAGGATCCTGACTAAAACAAGATCTTAATATTTTATAAGATTAGTCCAATGATTATTTAATCAAGTTAATATATAACTTAAGTTTTTATAGCTAATATAAATATTATAAAAACTTTTAACAATCTTTAGAATAAATATATAAATGATACAAAAGTAGCTTTTAAGCTTATTTTATTTTGTATTATATAGTATTCAAAATTTTAATTAGGTGATCTGATCTTTTTATTTATTTTTTGTTAATTCAAATAAGTTTTTTGATTTCTAAAGCTGTTTTAAAAAAGTATTTTGCTTTTTAGATAGTTTGGATTAAATTTTAAATCAGCTAAATTATAAGGTATTATAAAATTATATTAAGTTTAAACTTATTAATAGTTTACTAAATACAAAAATAACTTGTAACTATAAGAGCTATATACTAATCAATTATTTATTTTAATTTTAATTATAAAAAATTTGTATATTTTGTTTCAAATTTTTTTGTAGTTACTATAGTATCAAGTATTATTATATATTATCCCAATATTGAATCAAATAAAACCTTATATTAATTTAATACTATTATTAAATAAAAGTTTGTTTATAATATTTTTTAAATACTTAGTATTCTGTAAGTATTTATTTATATTTGTTATAAATATTTTTTTATTATTATAATTTAATATAAAATAAATATTAGTTTTAAG